AGCTCTCCCAGCTTATGGAGTTTGCCACGATTAGGGTAAGTACTTTAACGTGACCATTCCACCAAGTTAAAGCTTTATCAAGAAGGGTGAAGGTTGCAAATTTGACCTTGCTGTGCTCGGGACATGAGCAGATTTCAAAGACTGCCTCCGTCCTTTCAATCCACTGCCTCAGGGCCATCACACCACCAGTACCATAAAACATCCGGGGCTTGGCATTGGTGAAGTCCTTATAGGTGCATTCTCGAGGTGGTCCATGACTCTCGCCATGGTTGGACGTGTGTGCGCCAGATCCCGAGACATTAGCACTTGAGTTATTGATCTGTGACATGGCAGCTGCCACTGCTGCGGTGACTGCTGCTTGAAACATTACAGCATCAAATTGGGGTGGTGGAGGTGGTGGTATAGGTATTTCCTCACTGTTGTTTCGCCTTGGATTCCTACGCGGAGGCATCCTTCAACTATAGATGGAAAGAAAACAAGGATAAGAATTTCATGAAATGGAAAAGTGTATGTGTCTCATGAATTAAATCGCTATAATTCAACAACAAATGATAGTATGAGTCTTAAAATAGAAGAATGAAAGTTATTTGTAAGACTGAGGTATGAAACAAGTATTTGGGTTCCCAAGGACCATTCAAGGTTCGAACGAAATACTCAGCATAGTAGTAATAGTGCCACTTATATTAATATAAAAGTTGTTACAACGATCAAGAAAATTTGTCCCCTATAAGGATCTCCGTTTACCAAGTTCAAGAAATTTAAAGACTTTTAGCCGAGGTCCTAAGCTATAACAAAATTTGAGTTCTTGACAAGCACTACTTGCGTCGAAAGTTGCGTTTGGAGCTTGACTCCGTATCTGATTGCTTCGACTCCATTAGACGCCTATCTAAAGCGGCTTGTTGTTCCCTTAGTTCGGCGAGGGCTGCAATAATTTGCGCTTGAAACGCTTCGGTTTGGAACTGAGCGTTGTCTTGCCTCTTGTCCAACCTACGGATGTCAGAAGTGTGAACCTGCACTTCTACGTTGATATCCCGGAGTCGACTAGCTTGTACTCCAGACTGATAGGACTGATTGGCTAACTTACCCACCATTACCGGGAGTGCTCGATCAGCCGAACTTCGCCACGGACATCATAGAAGTCCCGACACATGCCGTAGGGAGGGGGTAGGTTTTGCTGTTGGCTCCAATGGTGGAGGTGACTTCCCCAGACGGGAGTCGGTCCTTGAAAGTTCCTTACGAAGACGGGAGGTTGAATGGGTGGTGGATCGATAACTTCCGGCTCTGAGTCGGTACCGGAGTCATCACCCACGTCTATGGGTTCCTCGTCCTCTTCGGGATCATCTTCGATCCATCCTCCATTTCCTTGGTTGGGAAAGTAGGGTCGCCAGGGTGGTGAAATCCAGCCATTTGACTATACGAGAATTAGGGTTATAAGAATTGAATAGAGTCGGACATGTAAAACATGTAAGTTAAACTAGTTTAGATAGCAAATACTCCTATAGTATTTAAATTCTTGTGTTTGATTTTTGTAATGGCTTGGTAAGGTTTGACATTGTTGCCACTACGATCATTCCTTGATTCGTGCGTGTCAACTTGCCTAAATACTTGTAAAATTGTATAACATGAAAATAGTTTGTGGTATGCATGTAATTGTACTTAAATGAACTATTAATTTAAGTTGAACGAAATGCTGCTTAAGTGTAAAAAAAGAAATTTGTTTTGTCAGAGAGTATTAGTCCCTTAAGCATTTATAGTTTGTATATCTTATGTGGTTCGATATACTTAGTTCACTATAAACATTGCTCTGATACCAATCTGTCACAGCCCCAAACCTGAACGGCGGAAACGTTCGGGGGCGGATGACTTCATGTGGTAGCGTAACAAATGAATACATAGTAAAGAAAGCAATACAACCATCATATATATAATTGAAAGTTTACATTTGTCAAAAGTTACATGTTCAAAACCAATTACAATATGATGTCAAAAATATGAGATTAAAACTGGCGCCGCAGCATCTCTTCTTCAAAAGCATATTAGTACCTGAAATTACTGAATCCCTGGGACATACAAGTAATTTTGAAAGAGTTGATCAGCATTTAAGCTGGTGAATTTCATAAGTATTTAAGTGACAATGTTTGAATGAAATGAAATGTTTTCTCTTTGTTCGTTTGTGTTTAGAAAATCCTATATTTTCTACTAGTGTAAAAGTAGCCTTCACTCAAGACCAATGTTTGTTTCCAAAATGTATGAAAATGTAAAATAACCAATGAGGTTGAAAACCTTGTAAATCAATGCATTTTTAATACCCCTTGTGAGTTTTATAACCATACTATTGACTCTGAATGCCTATACACAACGTTCTTCAGGCGTTGGAATGTTATGACGTTTGTCACCCCAAACGGTGGACTGTCGCTAACAATCAGGGTGCGGGTTGTCAAGCCCGTATAGATCTATACACAAACACCATGATCCCCCTCCAAGGGATTCTGGTATATAATACAGGACTTGAAATGTGTACTCGAACGTACATGAAGTTAGTGTCTCACAAACCTGTGGTATAAAAACAGATCTACTTGTTAAAATGTTACGTTTGTTCTGGTATACGAAAGTAAACTTCTTGAAATATATGTTTCTAGTACACAAGAGTTAGAAATCTGTTCGTAAAACTATACCTATTATAGTTTTAAAAAGTGTGCCTTGTTTGTTTTAGAAATACTTAGGAAAAGAATCATTTGTTTATGAAAGCATAGATTTTTGGTGTAGAGTCTACGATAGAAAAGAATAATTTAAGAACAGTTTAGTTTTATACATGCATTACAACAACTTTATATTTTAAAAGATTGAATGTTATTGTAACATATGATATATATTTATATAATTAAAAGTTCCTTTAAAGGTTTATAAATCGCATGTGATTTGAATATTTAACAGTATATAAAAGAGTTTCTTTATGTAACACACGATAATACTCGTGTGTTTTACTTGTAATCCCCCCCTTTGAAAGCGTATAAAAGTATTTAGAATAATTAAAACGGTTGATTAAGGGGTATGAAACTCACTTGAAAGTTTTGGAGATAGCGAGATGGAAAACCGGGCAGAGTTTCGTCTCGGGAAACGGATTTTCCTCGGGATTCTCGGGAATCTCGGGAGTAAAATCGACCTTCGGGACTTGAGCCAAAAAGACCAGAGCTTCGGGTTTGAACGGACACGGAAAATGAGGCAAGGTTGTGAGAGAGAGGAGAGAAATGAGCCCTTTCTTTGGAAACCCTCGTAGCCTATTTATAGTGAGGCTGGTCTGCCTCAGTACGCGGGGCGTACGCTCGTACGCAGTGCGTACGCGTACGTCATGCGTGACCGAAGCCTCGACTGCCTCGGCCTCGGATGGGACGGGTCCCTGGGTACGCGAGTCGGATGGGACAACGGGTCGGGTTATCCGGATCGTGCGACGTGGACGGTTTGAGGCCGAGCTCCTCGGGTACGCGGGGCGTACAGGTGTACGCAGCGCGTAACTCGGATGCTGACTCCCCTTCGGATAATATCCGAATTTTGAATAAAATAAATAATTAATTTATTTAATAAACTTCAAAAATTCATATCTTCTTCATACGAACTCCGTTTTCGATGGTCTTTATATCCTCGCGTAGGTGAGACTACGCTCTTCAACTTCCGTTTAGACTTCGTCGGCAAATTCCGAAATTATTTTTTTATTAAATATTAAAAATCTATCGTGTTTAAGGAATTTCTTTGAAAATTCGTAACTTCTTTATCTGATGTCGGTTTTTGCCAGACTTTTTACCGCTGGAATACCATTGTCGAGACCTTCGATTCTCGTTTAGGTCGTTCTGGCCAAAAGTCGCTCGATTTCTGATTCGAGTTTTTAGCTGTCTGTTGCTAAGTCGAACTTGGAAAAATCATAACTTTGCTAAATGAAGTCGGATTTGGGCGTTCTTTTCGCGTACGATCATGGTTCAAAGACGTTTAATCATAGAAGGAAATTAAATAGGACTTATTTGTACATTTTATTATGAAAGTAATTTTTATTACTCAGAAGCGGTTACAATACTTGACCCACTTTGGTCGTTACAAAGAGTTGAAATATCGGGTTGTCACATCAACAATCTTTAATACTTCTGTTCTGTTCAAGAATGATACTGACCCTTTGTATTGGTGAATGTATATGTATATACTTAATTAAATATTTTAGTATTTAAAAGTATATATTCTTGGTCAGAGTGTTTTAGTCCCGAAGTGTTTATAATTCGTATATCTTTTATGGGTTGATATACTTGATTCACTATAACCAATGCTCTGATACCAATATGTCACACCCGAAAACCAAGAACGGCGGAATAATTTCTAGGGTAGAGGACGTCATGTACAGTATCATTACAATTGCATAATAGTAAAAACAAGAAACAACAACCATTTCATATATATATATATATATATATATATATATAGTGATAATAGTTACAATTGTGTTCTATAAAGTTTAATAGACACCAAAAGTATAACAAAATAAGAGATGAGTCTTGTATATGCTCCATCTTCTTCCAAAAGCTGCCCTGTACCTGTGTATCTTTGACGTGAGGATACAAGTTATTTTGAAAACGAATAGGGATAATGTCACTGTAGCACATGGAACTTTTAATGTTTGGCTAATTTGGTCCTTAAAGTTTTTTTGGTGCATTAGACCATTAAACTCGTAACTGACCTTTAATTACACCATTTTAGCAACTTTTAGAAGGTTTCCCGGTTATACGATGTCATTTTGTCAATTAATATATATTTTTTGTCTAATCCGATGCCACGTGAGATATGCCACATCAATTAATGAAATACGACGCTTAAAGCCTTTCGTCTTAAACTATCAAACTTCACTAGTCTTCTTCTTCATTATTGAGTTGTAAAAGAAACTGATTTAGGGTTTGTGAAGCATTCCTGTGATCGAGCTGAAAGAAACAAAGAACTCGCAACAATGGCACAATCGGAACCTAATGGACTTTGCGATGGTGGAACTCAACTACCAAGGGGTATTTAATCGAAATCCTTTCTCTTACACTGGTGGTGTTAAAACCATCTTCAATGATGTTGAATTTTCTTCTATGACTTATTCTGAGTTTGTGACCTTCTGCGAACGTTTCATGCATGAAGAGTGTAAAAAGTTTTACTACTGTGAACCAGACATGTCCTTCATGGAAGGCCTTAATCCCATTTCAGATGATGTGGAATATTCTGCTTATATTTTTGATGCTTATGGAACAGATGGTGTAATTTCAGTTTATGTGGATCATATTGGGGTTGGTGTTGATGGGTGGCATGATGATAAAGATAATGATGATGATGAACATGAGTCTTGTATTGATGGTGAAAATGAAGACAACATAGATGAACTTAGAAATGTTGCCTTTGAATTTAATGAGGATGTAGTGCATATGAATAGGACATCAAATGATCCTTTCTTGAGTAAGCTATGTGTTGATGATGAGGATGCAAACAACATTGTAGATGATGACAATGGGAGAGAAGTTGAAGTTAACATACAAGCTCATTCCATATTTAATGAGCTATTACACTGGAAAAAACAAAAACCAATTCTAGGGATGAGATTTAAGGGTCCAGGGCAAGTAAAATCAATGTTGTGTAACTATGTTGTAGCTAATGGATATCAATTGTGTTTTGAAAAAATGATCGGACAAGACTTTTGGTGAGGTGTAGCAAAGGTGCTTGCACATTTAGATTATGGGCTTCCTGGATGAGTGATGAAGAGAGTTTCCAAATCAAGTCACTAAAAGCTGATCATAATTGTGCTAGGAACTTCAAGTTTGGATCATTGGTGACATATGCATGGATTGGGAGTCACTATACCAAAGAGATTGTAGAAAGTCAGAAAATAAGTGTAAGGAAGCTTAGGTTAAAGGTAATGGCCAAGTTTGGTATCCAAGTTAGTATGGGGCAATGTAGAAGAGCAAAGAAGTATGCACTGAAACTTGTTGAAGGAAACCTTGTTGAACATTATGGTAAGCTATGGTCATATGGTCATGAGATTTTAAGGACAAATCTGGGTCAACTGTGAAACTAGATATGGAGGATGGGCCAGATGGAAAGAAATATTTTAGCAAGTTCTATTGTTGTTTTCAAGGAGTTAAACAAGGTTGGATTGAAGGGTGTAGAAGGGTAATTGGTCTTGATGGATGTTTTCTTAAAGGTGTTTGTAAGGGAGAATTGCTTTGTGCTATTGGGAGGGATGCAAATGACAAGATATATCCTATTGCTTGGGCAGTGGTTAATGTGGAGAACAAGCAGAATTGGAAGTGGTTTCTAGAGCTTCTCATTGATGATCTACACTTGAATTTAGGCAATGGTTTCAGTTTAATGTCAGACCAACATAAGGTTAGTATTTTACATAGTAATGCATTTATGTTAATTTTAGACTATCTGAATTTAAACCTTTTTACTAATACAGGGTTTGATAAGGCTGTTAAAGAGTTGCTGCCATATGTAGAGCACAGGCAGTGTGCTAGACATATTTCCAGAATTTGCAGAAGAGATTTACTGGTCCATATATCATATTGTTTTGGAGAGCATCTAAAGCCACAACTGAGCATGCTTTTAAAGTTGTGATGAAAGAAATTGTGACATTGAACCCAGAAGGCCGTCAATATCTCATGGAGAAAGATCCTAAAACATGGTCTAGAGCTTTCTTTCAAACTGGAAGGTGTTGTGATGCAGTTGAAAATGGGTTCTCAAAAAGTTTTAATGTTGTAATAGTAGATGCTAGGAAGAAACCCATAATAACCATGTTAGAGGAGATAAGATTATACATGATGGACAGAATCTACAACATGAAATTAAAGGGACAACAATGGGGAAATCATATTTGTCCAGAGATAAGGGATAAGGTGAATTTGCTTAAAAAAGCTCAAAGGAATTATCAGGTACTACCAAGTGGATTAAACCAGTTTGAGGTAAGGGGAGCAATAGATGCATATGAGGTGGACTTAGAAAAAAAAACATGCTCATGTAGGTTTGTGGCAATTGAATGGATATGGATGTGCTCATTCTGTAGCTAGCATATCCTTTCTTAATAGGGA